ATTGCCCTTGACACCTGTTGTGAATGCAGTAACGTGATCTCGTGGGTCTGATGTACCATCATACTTTGGAATATCAGGCATCTTAAACTTCTTTGGAATTGGAAGGGGAGCAGCGCTTGGCTTCCATGGTTGTTGGGAATATTTATCTATATCCACACCCTTGATCACGGGCGGTACTCCAGGTATTTGTTCTATGCGTTCATTTTGCTCCTTGAGCTGTTTCTGCAAGGTTAGTACTAGACTTTGTAAATCAGAATTAACTGGATTACCTGGGTCTCTCTCTTGTGTTTCACTAGGGGTTCCACCGCTGCCAGAATTAATCAACCCTGAACGAGGATTCTCCAAAGTGTTGTTGTTTGGAGCAGACGTGGGTGGAACAGCAGGCAATTGGCGAACAAAAGCTTGGAGAGCGTTATTGACTTGAGAGGCAATAAGTTTTTGCAGAGCCTCATTCATGGTTTCAACGTTTTCGAATTGAGCCTGTCCATCTGTATAAGATCCATCAGGAGTGCCTTCACGAGATCGTCGTGGGGAACCTCGTGGAGAACCTTGTGGAGAGCCTTGTGGGGAATCTCCCTGAAGTTGTTGGACTGTCTGAATTTATGGGTTTCCTTGAATGTTGTCATTGTTGTTCGACATGATTGATGCAATCAAGAAAATTAGATTGAGATATGCTTAATTATCAGATTCCCGATAACGGAACCAATTTGTTTAACCAAAAAATAGAATTTTGGTTAAAACTAGAAATTAAGAGAAAAAATCGGGTTACTGATAATCAGGAGACGAAAAGAATAAGAAATTTTTGAGAATAATAAAGCAGTAAATAAGTTTGTATTTCAATATAATCTCAATGATATTTCGTGTCCTTACAAATGCTGAGATCTCCTCCTTTTATAGTTGATTTTTCTAGGAAAAGGTATAATGTCTCAGTCTTAAAGAGACAATTATGAGCATTAAATGACATTAAATGAAACGTTACACAATCATTCCTATTCAATGCTGATTCGCTGACGTATTTGACATTTAATACTGAATTTAGACTCCTTTATGCTATCAGATTCATATCTTCAATTCCTTCTGACCTCCTGGCTTTAATTAAGTTAAATAGATACGAGACTCGTATCATTTGAATAGCATCTCGTGCCTATTTAACTCTCTTCTTTTCGTATCTGATATCGCCCGTGCCCCTCAATTGATCATCATGTTTTGACCATTTGACCAGTCCACGTGTCATGCCACGTCACCTTCAATATAAATTCAGTTTTTTCCCAATACAGTGTGAGGCCTTTTATCAATGCTAACTTTAATCCCTGCATGAGACTAGTAGCTTTTAGAGGTTGTCAATCGTGTTGGAAAGTCCTTTCATATATCTTACTATCCACCCATATATCCCCCCCCCCCCTCGCTATTTTTAATAATACCACTTATTCCTCCTGCTCTAAGATTCCCCATGGAGAACCCATCAGTGTTCGCTTAAACCATCCATTGTCGGGAGATTCCCATCTGACTTGTAATATAACTACTTGATTATTAGTGATGTGTTTGCTGGCCACAAAAAAGTATTCTATAGCTTTAGCTATTATGTTAGAGACAGAAGTAAGATTATATTTTTTTTTGTCAAATAGGTTGTTGTTTCTGGAAAGCCAGATATTCCAAAAACTGAAATGAAGGAGGTGTCCTAGTTAATGGATGTATTAGAAGCCTTGTTTCTGATATTATCCCAAGTGGTGGGCCAATCAATATGGTTGAATTTAAGTTGGTGGAAAGCAGGAAGTGTTGGTATATTCCTGGAAAAGGTTGTACAATGATTGCTATGTGTTGGTTCATTTGAAGAAGATATGTGAAATATTCTCTAGGAGCCAGAGCAGTAATGCATAAGGGGCTCACATTCAGGCCAATAGAGTGGAGGCAGTAATTGGTTGGAAGCTTGAAGTGTGAGAGAAGACAAA